ATTTGATGTTTGATTTGATATAGGAAAATTTCTGGTTATGGATTGAGCAATGAATTTTGGTATGTTTTTTAATGAGAAAACACGAAGGAAATTGACATGAGAAATTGACATAAGAAATTGAAGGAAAAAATGTGACCAGAAAAAATTGTGGGATTTCACATAGGAATTTACATAACTTATTACCCAGATAGCAAAATGCGCGCACAATGCCTAACATTTCGCTCGCACGCGTGATGATTAACCCGCATGGGGTGCCACGCGTGCCGGTAAAATGCATGCGCCGTTCATAAAATTTATATTATGTACTATTAAATGAATATCTGAATTACAGTATTTTAAAATATGTTAAGTAAATAAAAATACGTGTATAAAAAAGAAGACTTTATTTTATTATATATATGTTTTTATATGTTGAATTCAACACTCGACAATCGAACAGTAATTAATTAAGTTCATTTTTCGACAAAAAATTTTCAAGTTCAAAAATTCACGAAAATTTTCTAAGTGTTTTGTTACACGCATGTAAATGTCAGCGAAATGATAGGCATTTTGCTTGCACTGAACTAGCTCTCACACATAATTATTAAGTGCAGGCGAAATGCATGCATTATAGCCATCACTGCGTGCCCCGCACGTAAAATGCGTGACATGCTACGCACGATTGCTATCTGGGTACCTAAGAATACGTTTGTAAGAATTTACATCGAATCCTACTTCAAATCATGTCTCAATTTCCTAAATGATTTTTCATAAGATCCTATATAGTTTCTTACATGACACATAGGATTTTATGTGGATTTTAATATATGAATTTATGTGAGATCCTATATAAGATCCTATATGAGAATTTTCAGTAGGGGGCCGATCATTAATTACGTCACGCTGTTTTGAACATTGTTTCTACCCCTCCCTTAGTAAATCACAGATCCTCAAAAAATGCTTCAACTTCCCTTGTCACTTTCATATAACTATACCCTCCTCCCTTTAAGTCAAATATAGTTTCTAGTGGGTATAATACTTGCTCATACTTTCATAAATTACGTAATATTAAACAGGGAGGGTTGTAATTTTGATATGATCCGTTACGTGAGGGGGTATTTTTTTAAGGTTACGAAACATTTTAAATACACAAAGTAGTAATAGTAGTTAGTATTTGCTCCGTTACTAAAAAATAGTAACGCTTTATCGTTACCGTTACTTTTTCTAAACAGTAATTCGTTACTGTTACTTCTTTTATAAAAGTAACTCGTTATACCTTTACTTTTTCGATAGTAACGCCGTTATCGTTATCTAAAATAAGTAACGGAAACAACGTTTAAAGTAACGCGTTACTTCAAACAGTATATTAATTAAGGTTTTTACAAGTTAATTCTCGATATCTATACACATATAAATATATATATAAACCACAAAAATTAAGGCAAAATTATAGTTTAAAATTTATCATTAACAAAAAAGAAAATTGAATTTAACTATAAAAAATTAATTTTTTTGACAATCAGTCTAAACATGTTTTTATGTGATGGATTCAGTGACGGATAACAGCGCTGACGGTTTACCGAGTGACTGATAATTATAAGCTTCCACTGTATTAATTATTATTGATTATTGTATAATGGGGTAAATCTCTAAGGAGAAAAATCATTAATTCCCTTTTATTTTCGTGTTGTACGTGTCTTATATGAACTAATTTTTTGTTGCAAGTCTAACACTTTTGCCATCTGCTCTTTATGTTGAGCATATGTTATATACCATCAGTATATATAATAGCCAGCACAGGACAGAGTAACATCGGAAATGATTCAAACTGGAATGGCTATATATATATCCTATAAACTTAGCTAAGAGATCAAGAAAGGACCTCTGCGATTCATGTTCGCTCTCCGTCTGTCGCCGCAATCACCTGCCCACAATTCGAGACAAATCAAAATAATATCACGATAGACATTTTTTGTTTTTTTTTTTTATCATTTTGTGTCGGAATGACATTAGAAGCTTCTGATGGCTTGCGATGAAAAGTTTATGATAGCGAGGTAGATCATAAAAGATAAATAAAAAGAGTCGCTTACATGAATAAAATAAAACGATGAGGGGTGAATATTAAAATATTCTATTGTTCTTCCGCGCAACAGTTTGAAAATATATATTTAAGGGGGTTTCCTGAATTAGAAAGCATAAAAAAGCTGTTTTTTGGAAATTTTTTTAGAAGGGAAAAAAATCTCAGCCCAGTTAAACCGCATAACCTTATCGCGTAAGCTTACCGCAACCTTACCGAGTAAGCTTACTACAATCTTTACATGCACCCTGAGAAAAGATTTCATTGATTTAAAGAAACCAGTTTATTTGGCTTGTTTTCTTTTATTCAAATTAAAATTTTCTTTGAAAGAAAAAAAGTTCTTTTAAAAAAAAAGTTTTTTTCAAAGAAAATTCCATTGATTCAAAAGAACTTTCTTTGAATGAAAGAAATTTCTGCATTAAATCGAAGAAATTCTAACATTGATATAGGGTTAAAGAAACATTTATTTGAATTAAATAACAAATTTCTTTGAAATGAAGATAATTTTTTTTTGAATCAAACACTAAATTTGTTGGAAACAAATAAATTTCCTTCGAATCAAAGAAAAATTTGTCAAAAAAAATTGATTTCTTTGAAGAATCAAAGAAATCTTTTTTCTCGGTGTGTAAGGTTATACTACAAACTTGACATGTAACCTTATACTACAACCTTTACATGTAACCTTACTATCAGGACGGAACTTTGAAGTCAGTTCACTACTACGCACCCAAAGAAATGTTTTATTTGAACCAAATATAATATATTTGAGTTAAGTAAACGTATATTTGAGGGGCTGATAGTAAAAATGGTTTAAAATAACATTGGGAGCAAAAGTGGGATAAGTGACTTGGGAGCAAAAACGTGTTAAAATGATTCGTGTAATTTATTGATAAATTCATTATATTATCGACTAAAAAATATTAACAATAGGAAAAAATGCATATTTTATTATAATTAATATTTTTTAATCGATAATATAATGAATTTATCAATAAATTACACGAATCATTTTAACCCGTTTTTGCTCCCAAGTCACTTATCCCACTTTTGCTCCCAATGTTATTTTAAATCATTTTTACTATCAGCCTCTCATTTGTCTTACAGCCAACTAGCTTATTTATTTGGCGTAAATAAATTTTTTTATTTAAATTAAAGAAATATTTATTTAAATCAAATAAAAATTTATTTGAATCAACTAAATATTTATTTGGCTGTGAGACAACTATATTATTTCTCTGGATGTACAGACTTACGATGTAACCTTACAATACATAACCTTACAGCAATATGTTGTGCTGTTTGTGAAAGGTTAAGCAGATCCGAAGTAACAAATTATATAAGAAAATTTTTGTTGAAACGTTCCATTGTTTTTAATTGTACCAAGTATTGTGGGGATCGTAGTATGATAAGTGTGAGTCCAGAGCGTTTCTCTCTTGCGTTGAGAGAGATGTCACGTAATTTTATCTACCAAATAAATATTATTTTAATAATTAACAATTATTTAATTTAACCTTTTTACAATTGTGGAACACGTGTTAGTGGTGATTCCCTTCTACATAACTTTTAAATAAAAACATTTTTAATATTATTTTACCAAGAATCCCACAGTATTAAAGTAACAGCGCCACCTGTGAATTTACAAGTTTATCTGATGGTTAAAAAGTTAATTCAGCGCTGGTTACCTTTGCTAGTCCTGCCTTTCTACTCAGATGATAAACACTCTTCGCTACATTGATGTTTTTTGTGTTGCCGTCGCGCAGGAGCTACGATCTACAACCAAAAGAAAAATTTGTTTAAATCTCAAAATTTGTTTTTTAATATAATTTTTTTAAGTAAACGAAGAAAATTGAGAGAGCATGATAGAATTTTCTTAAAAAATTTTAATTTTATTAAATTACTTAATTTTTACATAACAGAATTTTTAGGTTAATTAATAAGAATTAATTTAAGAAATAATTGTAATAAATAATAAAAAAAAATTAGTAAACTAAATTTTTGTAAAATTTTAAATTATAAAAATTAAAAAAAAAAAAAAGGAAGCCAACACTACGCGGTATTCCCAAGCGGTCACCCATCCAAGTACTAACCGCGCTCAATTGTGCTTAACTTTGGTGATCGGACGAGAACCAGTGAATTCACAGTGAAATGAGCGTTGGCTGAAATAATGAGTTTTACAAATTGTCTAAATAGTTAACTCTCAGGCAAGCCCTTTTGTTTTTTTTTAAAAGGTAATAATAGTGTTAAAATTTAGATTTATAATCCATTTTTTTAAACATTATTATAAATTTTATTTTAAAGTATTTTGATTTTTTTTAAATTATTAAAAGGAGGGTTAAATAAATTGAATGAGTTTTTAACTCTTCAGTTAATAACTCTTGGTTGACTTTTTACCTCAGTAATTAGTAAAAAAAAATAACTAACTATTAATAAAAGGTATAAAAGGGATTTTCATTGTAAAAATAACTGAAAAAAATTTGAGTAATTCAATTAGTTACAACAAAAATTTCTGTTTATTTTAACATAACCTACAAATTTTTTCTTTGACTTTTTACTGTCAAATAATACTAAGGGGCCATTCATAAATTACGTAATACGTATTGGTAAGAGGGGAAGGGGCTGGAAAAAATGTTATCATTTGTTACATTGTGTGAAGGGGCGGGGGGGGGGGGTCAATTGTCATTTTAGTAATATTTTTCTTACATTCGATTTTTTCGACCATCGAGATATTTCGATACATTTTCATGTGCTTTGCATGCACTGTCTTTTTTAAGAAAGGATATAATTACCTTCTGCTTGTATTATTACCGACAGATGGTAAATCTACACTTAGTTTGTAAACATGAAGTTCGCCGTTAACTGTACTCTGCAGCAGATAAATAAGCGACTTCAGAATGAACATATGTTGATAAAAACGTAAACGCCTTGCGATGACCTCTCTCACTATTCTTCCTCTCTTGCTCTTTCTAGACAAACGTCAACATAACCTACAATGTTAGACAAAATGTCATCAAAAATATAATTTATCTCGTGTATTTATCAATTTTATTTTCAATTCTTCATTGAAATAAGTCATAAACAAAGAAAAATATAATGGCAAACGATCGTGAAGTGCTGCGAGAAATATGGGAAGGAAAAATTCCAGTTTGCTTTCAATTAGACTCAGAAGAAGTGTCTGAACTCCAAGCACCAGATCCATTTTACTTGATGGTGCCTCGATTAAGTTATTTTCCTCTTTGCACTGATAAGGTAAATAAATTACTCTTTATTAATAATAAAATTATTTATTTAAATTCTATAATAAAATTCAATTTCACAATTTATAGGTGCGAAAACACTTTATGCGACACATTCAACAAGAGAAACAAGAAAATGAAATGTGGCTTGAATTTAATGGAATTCCATTAAAATGGCACTTTCCCATAGGAGTACTTTTAGATTTATATTGTAATGACATTCAATTACCATGGAATATAATTGTACATTTTGATAAATTTCCCGAGAACGTTTTGATGCACTGTCAAAATAAGTATGAAATTATTTTTAATTTTTAGTATTTATAACAAAATTTCTTTTATAACAAATTTTTACTTTACAGAATTTTTTAGTTACAAACATTTTTATTTTACAGAATTTCTCTTTACACAATTTTTTTTATTTCAAAGAAAAATTACAATTTAACCGAATTTTAATTTAGCAGAATTTTCCATTTTTCGAATTATTAAATTATAGAATTTCCAATTCAACGAATCTTAATTTGTCCAAATTTTTATTTGTACGAATTGTTATTTTAATAGAATTGTTAAAACGACGTATCTTCATTTGTTCAAAAATTGCAAATTGACAAAAAATAATTCTATCAAATAATAATTCGTACAAATAAAAATTTGGACAAATTAAGATTCAGTGAATTAGAAATTTTAAAAATTCGTATCACTTAAAATTCCGTTGAATGAGAATTATGCTAAATGAAAATTCAATTTAATTTGAATGCAAAAACCTGCGAATGAATTTTTGTTCTAATTTTCAGTTCACTGAATTATCGTTTTTAAAAATTGTAATTTTTTTAATTTAATACATTTATTATAATTATTATAAAGGAGTATAAACCAAGGAATAAAAGATTTCTAAATTAAATTTATTTTTTTAGAGAAGTCGTGGAAGCGTATTTTTTGTCTTGTATAAAGGAGGCTGATGTTCTCAAACATCGAGGTCAAGTAGTTTCTAGTATGCAGAAAAAAGATCATAATCAAATTTGGCTTGGATTATTGAACGATAAATTTGATCAATTTTGGGCTGTTAATCATCGACTAATGGAACCCAGTAACGAGGAAGGTTTTAAATACATACCTTTCCGTTGTTATGTAAATGACGAAAGTTATATTCAAAAATTAGTTAAACCTCTTAATGAGGAAGGTTATCGGAAAACGTTAAAAGACTTACTTCATGAAGTTTTTCCCGATAAAGAAGAAGGTAAGTATTTTTATACTTTTTAATTAAAATTAATTTTAAACAAAAATTTTTTCGATTAATAAAGTTTTTTTTTCAGATCAAGTAAAGCCAATTATTTATTCTCCCGTTTGAAAAATTTACCCCAATGAACGCCATTTTCACACGGTAGAACAAATGAATGGCTTTTTCACCAAATTTTATTATCCTTAGATAAAAATGGAACTAAATAAATGTAGAATAGAGGAAAATTATAGAGAATTCTTGATTTAATTTTTTGTGCGCTTTAAAAACTTCAGCAAAGTTAGTAATTTTTAGGGTTCCATACCCGAAGGGGGAACCCTATTAATGAGACTAGTGAAGCAAGGCATGTACCCCCCCCCCCGTAGCGGCCACACGAATTTATCTAGAGGGCTGAAATTTGGTACACATATGTATTTTGGCGTGTAGATTACAGGAAAAATATAGCGAACCTGATAGGAATTGATTATCATAGCGTTGTCAAGGAAAAACCATGAATTTTTACAAAAAATCCCTAAAAATGACCCCCACATTTTTTCACATAGAGAGCTCAAATTTGGTACACTTGTATTTTTACGTGAAAATTACAGGAAAAATATAGCGAACATGATTCGGATCGATTTACATAGCGTTGTTAAGGAAAAATCAAAAATTTTGAAAAAAAGCGTTTAATCCACCTAGCGCACACACTATTTGACCAAGACAGTTCATATTTGGTATACATGCGTATTTTTGCGTATAGATTACAGAAAAAATTTACCGAGCACGATTGGACTTGATGATCATATTGTTTTTAAGGAAAACTCATATTTTTAGGAAAAAATCATGAATTTTTCGAATAAAAAAAAAAGAAAACTTTATCTTAAGGGATTCAAATTTATAAATTTTTACGTATTTTTACGTGTAGATTACAAAAAAAATATAGCGAGAACGATTAGAATTGATTATTATAGCGTTTTCAAAGAAAAACTGATAATTTTCGTTATTTGTGACTATGTGTTTTTATGCTCACATTACAGGAAAAATTTAGCAAAATTGGAATTTTTCCACCTGCCTTCACACTTTAACCCCCTTAAATTTTAGGTTTAATGGTACAGAACCCTCGATTTTAATGCGAGTGTAACTGGCACTTGTCCGATTTTTTTTTATGGTAAATTGAAGTATATAAACCGGTACAGAGTTTTCTTGTATAGTTCTCAAATTGATATCGTAAATCAGATCGACTACGTTTTGATTCGATATTAGAGTAGGATATGATTTTGACATTTTCTTTTTCCAGAGCATTTTCCAACTATAGTTTTAGGGTACCAAAAAAAATTAATACAATAGTAAAAAAAGGGGGTACATGAATAAATGTAAAAAAAAATTCTAAATTAATTTTTAGTTCTAAATATAGAATAAAAAATTTTTATAAAATTCTGAATTAATTTCTTTCTAATTTTTAGGATTTTTTAACCTATATTAATTTCTGAAAATTAATTTAGAATTTTTTTTACTAGGGTAAATATACTAATTATTATACTAATTAAAACTAATAGAGTAATTTTCTATTACGGCGCGTTTGTATCAGTTTCAGTGACCAAAATTACGTGTATTTTGAAGGTACTTTGCCCGCCGTAATTGAAGCCAATGGAAATTTTAAAAATGTTTCAATTACGGCGAGGGAAAAATTTGATCTCAAATAATTAAATTAATAATTGTTTAAATTTGCATCTTTATTAGTAATTGTATCAAAAAAAAGATTAAAATAATTTTTTTTTAATCATTTTGCAACAGTTTTATTAAATATAATAGTAATAATAGTTATTTTTTATGAACGCGCCGCAGGCCTCGGATTATACTACTTTTTCGACTATTTCCGACTTTTTTCGACTTATTTTAATAAAATGCGACTATTTCGACTTTTTTTTACATTTTTAAAAAAATTTTTTTAAATAAAATATATTTCTTTTTTGGTATAAAATGCAGATCTTCTTCAGATCTTATTTATTTCAATTATTTAACAAATTTTTAACTAAAATTCTTCAATAAATTAATTATTTTTAATAATTTTAAAGAAATTCATCACAAATTCAATTATTTAAAATTATTTTTTAATTAAAATTTTTATGAAATTTAACAATTGTTTATAATTTAAAAAAAAATATCAAATAAAAATACCAAAAATTTTTAATTCAAAATCATAAATCAATTAAAAATCAAATAAAATTTAATTATTTTCAAAAATTTGAATTCAAAATCAACTAAAATTCAATTATTACCCAAAATTTCAATTCAAAATCAAAGAATATTTAATTATTTTCAAAATTTTCAATTCAAAATCTTTTAAAATTAAATTATTTTCCAAATTTTCAATTTAAAATCAAATAAAATTCAATTATTATCAAAAATTTCAATTCAAAATCAATTAAAATTCAATAATTATCCAAAATTTGAATTCAAAATTAATTATTATCAAAATTTTCAATCAAAAATCAACAAAAATTGAATTATTATCCAAAATTTTAATTATAATTCAATTATTTTCAAAAATTTGAATTTAAAAGCTTCTAAAATTTAATTATTTCTAAAATTTTCTATCGAAAATTTTTTTAAAATTTTACAATTTCAATTATAACTCTAAGGAAATTTAATTATTTTTAACTATTTTTATAATATTCTTTGAAAATTCAACTATCTGAAACCATTTTTCAATGAAAAATGGTTTTCAAATTGTATTTTTGTCCGCAATTTCTAATAAATTTTTTTATTGAAATCATCAAAAAATTTTAATTAAAAATCACTTGAAGTTCAATTAATTTTAAAAATTTCAATTGCAAATCTTTGAAAATTCAATTACATTTAAAAAATGTTTTCCAAAAATTGTTTGATAAATTATTTGTAGTTCTGTAAAATTTAATTATTGTCTGAAAATTAACAAAATCTTTTAAAATTCAATTATTGATAAAAATTTCAACTTTAGCTATTTTAAAAGTATTATTATTTAAAAAAAAAATTTATTTTAAAATCTGTAAAATATTTTTGTTAAAATAAAAAAAATCGACTTTTTCGACTTTTTTTGGAATATAAATCGACTAAAGCGACTTTTTTTGTGCCTTTAAGTCGATCCGAGGCCTGACGCGTCGTAATTGGTACACTTACCCTACATTTATAATAATTTTTTTTCTTGTAAAAAAATTAGTATATTATAAAAATGTTAAAAGTAATTTCCTCCCAATTGGTCAGATATATTTTTATCAGTTTTCACTGGATTTTAATTATATTTTTTAAATAAAAATTTATTTAGAAATTTATTTAAATAGAAATCAAACTTTAATAAAGTTTTCAGCATTATTATATATACTAATAAATAAATTTTTTCAGTTCAAATTCGAACACATGGAATTTTACCCCCTTTGGAAACACCGTTGCAGTGGCTTTCAGAACACTTCAGTTATCCTGATAATTTTTTGCATTTATGCCTACTGTCCTCGTAACACATTTATAAAATATAATAATAATAATTTCAAGAACATTAGTCAATTAGTCAATAGACAAAAATTGACCAATTGTTCTTATTATTTACAAATGAATAAGTTATAATTTTTGGCAGTAACATGATACCAAATCATTTTATTTTTTTATATCTCTTTTACAACGTCTTTGTAATCCTGATATTTATTTTATCTAACTAGAAAATTTTCAATATATATATTAATTTTGTCTATGAAGTGAAGAAAGATATTGAATTTGATTAAAGAAATTTACTCCATTAACCTTAAACTAAATAAAAATATTTTGTTAAATATTTTTATATTATTTTACAAATAAAATTATTTATAGTTTCAAAGAATTAGTAAGTTTTGAGTTGAAATTTAAAAATTGGATTGGTTTTTTGGTTTACTATTTTTCATTTAATAGAAGTCAGAATTCAAATGGATAATTATGATTCAAATAGTTATTAAAATCAATTACTATATTAATATATTCAAGAAAGTTATTATAATTTTTAATTGATTCAATCAAAATGTTTTTTTAGTTTAAGGTTATATATGTTAATTTCTTTCATTGTTGTTAATTACTCTTTGAAGTTTAACTTCTTCGTGAAATTTTACTAGAATGAATGTGGGTATATGTGAATATGAAAAATACTTTTTATTTTATCAATAATTATTCACTTTGTTTATTATTAGCTATGTGTGCGTGTGGGTGTGTTAAATTATTAAATCGTGGAACTTTATGAAGTTAAGTGTGGGTTGTAAAAAAAAAAAGTGTTGTACGCAAACATTCTGCTAAAAAAAAAATTGTATATAAATGTATTTCTGCGGTCTAAGTGTACAAAATAATTAAGTTCACGAGACGCAAGCTATTTCTTGAGTTTTAACCTCTTCAATACATGAAAAAAAAAAAATTGGAGTACTTCGAAAATTTATTTTTTAACCCCTTAAGTGAAAGTGGCAAAAAAAAATTAATAAAATAATAATTTAATAAGTCCATATCAATGATAAAAAGTAAAGGTTACAAATTCTCAAACGCAACATTCACATTTTATGACTGAAATTAGTTAATTTTATTCTATGATGCGAGGCTTAACGTTTTATATTCGAAGGCGATTTACTAAATACAATTTATATTTTTAATATAAACTTGTGGCTATATTCACGTTATTAATCAGTGACGTGAATATGAACTTGTGGCTATATTCACGTCATTAAACTAGACTTGAGACTATAATCACAGCATTGAACAATAATGGAGCGTCACTGATATTAATGACGTGAATATAGCCACAAGTTTATACTGACGTCAGTAATTAATAACGTGAATATAGCCACAAGTCTATATTACCGTTATGGAGTATTTACACACCTTCGGTAAAAAATTTTCTTCACTTTGCATTTTCCGAAATACAGATACCTGATTGGTTGTACAGAATCTGATTTATTGTGGACAACCAATCAGGTAAGTGTATTTCGGAAAATTGCAAAGTGAAGAAAATTTTTTACCAAAAGTGTGTAAATACTCCATAACGGTAATATAGACTTGTGGCTATATTCACGTTATTAATTACTGACGTGAGTATAAACTTGTGGCTATATTCACGTCATTAATATCAGTGACGGTCTTGCAGATTTGCACCTACCTTCACGTCATTGTTTAATGACGTGAATATGCCTGCAGTTTTTTTATCATACATTGATTTTAAAAAATTAAGTTCGTACTTTCTTTTTCATAAATTTTATATTTACATTATAAATTTAGTGCGTATGCAATTGAACCGTATTTAAATTATCATATAAAATTTACCGCCACATATAAACATTTAACTTTATAATAATATTTATATACAATACTATACGATAAGCTGTAAATGATTTAGAACAGTTAGAAAGTTTAAGCTTCAATATTTATATATGGTCATAGAACTCAACAACCATTTGTGATAACGGAAACAATATATATATGTACCAGCTTCATATATATACTTAACTTTACCATATTTGCCAACTTGATGTGTTATTCTTTTGAGTCTCTCCGTAAATCTTGCTTGTTTATCACATCTTTTTTTTACTGAAAATTTTTTATTCGACATAATCATAAAACACTATCTCGCAGAGTGTCAAGCTGGAATATATGAAATTCCCTCTTGAATTTACAAAATTCAAATTTTGTCATATATATAATGCGCAGAAGCGACTGCGCAACACAATTTGATTTTTTGATTTATTTAATTAAAAAAAATTTTAACTTTATAAAAATCGATTATTTAAACAAATATGAGAAATTAAAACTAATAACGTAATTTTCTATTACGGCGCGTTTGTATCAGTTTTGGTGTATCAATTACGGTGACCGCAAAATTACGTGTATTTTGAAGGTACTTTGCCCACCGTAATTGAAGCCAATGGAAATCTTAAAAATGTTTCAATTACGGCGAGGGAAAAATTTGATCTCAAATAATTAAATTAATAATTGTTTAAATTTGCATCTTTATTAGTAAATTGTATCAAAAAAAAGATTGAAATAATTTTTTTAATCATTTTGCAACAGTTATATTACTCTCCAAATCTGAATTAGTAAAAATGTTCACTAATTTAAATTATAGTGACTCACTTTTTGCTTCTGAATTAGTAAAATTTTACTAATTATTAGTAACTTTTACTAACAATTAGTAAAATTTAACTAATTCTAAAGCAAAAAGTGAGTAACTATAATTTAAATTAGTAAACATTTTTACTAATTCAGATTTAGAAAGTAAATATAATAGTAATAATAGTTATTTTTTATGAACGCGCCGTAATTGATGCACTTACCCTAATTATTAATTTTGTAAATAAATTTACTAACCGCGGTGACTTAATCTTATTACAATAACATATAATCGCTTATTAAAAATGATTTATTTAAAAAAAAAATATTAAGTCAAAATCGAATTCCTTGTTTCCTTAAATAATTTTTTTTTGATTATAAATTTTATAATTACATTTAATGACTGTTAATATTATTATAAGTAATTAATAGAATTAGTAAAATTTCTTTTTCTGTAAATTCTTACACTAAAATTGAAGGGCTCTACGTGCCCCAGCGATGTACATACCTGTAGTTTGAAAGCGTGACGTTAGTCTCTATTTAGTGACCAGGAACCGAACCTGTCACTAAATAGGGTCTCTGGTGTCATTAATTTGATTGTTATAACCGAGTCGAAATTTAGACCCTTCTTAACACCCCTTACAAGGGAAAGTACCTTAGGTGTTAATCCCCAAAATTGAAGAAATAATATACCGTTCGAATGGTCTATACCCAAAAAGAAAATACGTGTAGAATATTTCGCTTGAATGGACCTTCTAGAGGACGTTCAAAAGTGATGTTTTTAAATCATCAATTTTGTCCCAAAAAATAAAACACATAAAAAATGCTTACACCTATAGAGAAATGATATATTTGTCTCACAGCCTAAAAAATTTTTGTTTGATTCAAATAAATATTTATTTGATTTAAATAAAAAAAATTTATATGCGCCAAATAAATAGGCTAGTAGGCTGTGAGACAAATATACGTTTATTTAAGTTAAATATATTATATTTGGTTAAAGTAAAACATTTCTCCCTTTAATAAGTTTTAGAATTAAAAATCTCATAATTTTGCGCTTTTCTTGGACACTTAACACCTATATGGAAAATTAATTACCCAAAAATATATTTTTTAAACTTTAATCAGGAATTATATATAATAATAAAATGCTTGGTCTGTCCTTCTGTCCTAACTTGAAGTTGGCCTTTTCTGATTTCACGTGTTTTTTTGAATAGTAATCTTATGACGTGTCAAATTTTGACAATTCTTTTTCTCATTTTTGCCAAATTTCGGAATAAGTTTCTTTAAAATTCCAAATTCGAAAATTCAATTCACGAAGCTGAAGTACACAACGTTTACCAAGGAAATTTTTTTTAAAGTTGTATATTCATTCAAAAATTGTATACAAATACAAAAAATTTATGATGAGAAAAAAGATGCGCCAGGAAATTTCGTACAAGATAGTAATTTGAAAAAAATTTATTTTTAAAAATTAATTTTTAAGGTACCAGGGGCCAACGAATACCTATTAAATATTAATTATAAAAACACAGGCCTCGAATCAACTTAAGGACACAAAAAAGTCGTTTTAGGCGATTTATATTTCAAAAAAAAGTGGATTTGTTTTTTATTTTAACAAAAATATTTTACAGATTTTTAAATAAAAAAATTTTTTTTTTTAATAATAATCCTTTTCGAAGGGTTAAAGTTGAAATATTTAGAAATAATTAAATTTTAAAAGATATTGTTAATTTTCAAACAATTATTAAATTTTACAGAACTAAAAATAATTTATCAAACAATTTTTGGAAAACATTTTTTAAATTTAATTGAATTTTCAAAGATTTGCAATTGAAATTTTTAAAATTAATTGAACTTTAAGTGATTTTTAATTAAAATTTTTTGATGATTTCACTAAAAAATTTATTAGAAATTGCGGATAGTTGAAATTTCAAAGAATATTATTAAAATAGTTAAAAATAATTGAATTTCCTTAGAGTTATAATTGAAATAGTTAAATTTCAAAAAATTTTAGAAATAATTAAATTTTAGAAGCTTTTAAATTCAAATTTTTGAAAATAATTGAATTATAATTGAAATTCTTGATAATAATTCAATTTTAGTTGATTTTTGATTGAAAATTTTAATAATAAATAATTTTGAGTTGAAATTTTTGAAAATAATTGAATTTTAGTTTATTTTTAATTAAAAATTTTGAAAATAATTGAATTTTCTTTAATTTTGAATTGAAATTTTGCGAAATAATTGAATTTTAATTGAAATTTTTATTGAAAATTTTGATTATAATTAATTTTGAATTGAAATTTTGGATAATTATTGAATTTTAATTGATTTTGAATAGAAATTTTGGGTAATAATTGAATTTTATTTGATTTTAAATTGAAAATTTGGAAAATAATTGAATTTTAAAAGATTTTGAATTGAAATTTTGGAAAATAATTGAATTTCAATTGAAATGTTGGATAATAATTTTATTTTAGTTGATTTTTTTATTGAAAATTTTGATAATAATTAAAATTGAATTTAAATTTTGGTTAATAATAATTGAATTTTAGCTGATTTTTAATTGAAATTTTTGAAAATAATTCAATTTAATTTGATTTTAAATTGATATATGATTTTGAATTAAAAATTTTTGGTAATTTTATTTGATATTTTTTTAAAATTATAAATAATTGTTAAATTTTATAAAAATTTTAATTGAAAAATAATTTGAAATAACCCACATAGCACGACTTCTTGCTGGGAGGTTACTGTAACGATATCTGTAGGGTTTGTAAGGTTACCGTGGAAGCCTGCAGTAAACTTGAGGTCATCTTAAAACTTCCGCCTTACAGTAAAGCTAGGTAAGCTTACACAGTAAGGTCGTGGTAAGTTTACATGGTAAGGTTGTGGTAAGCTTACATGGTAAGGTTTCTGTAAGCTTCCCGTAAGGTTACTGTAAGGTTGCTGTAAGGTTACTGTAAACATAGAATGTTGTTAATAAATAAAATTTATTAATATTTATGCGCAGTAGTTTTCTATGGCACATACGGCTGCGCAGTAACTTTTATTTGACAAACCCTATTGGGGTTCATAAAGTACTTTACCAAATATATAATTTTTTATACAAAAAAATTTATAATATAATATATATTATAATATAATTATTTTTAATATATTTTCATATTACTTTATATTAACAGTAACCTTACAGCAACCTTACAGTAACCTTACGGGAAGCTTACAGAAACCTTACCATGTAAGCTTACCACAACCTTACCATGTAAACTTACCACGACCTTACTGTGTAAGCTTACCTAGCTTTACTGTAAGGCGGAAGT